GCTTTGCCGCTGAGCTAAATCCCCAGCCCCTCTGCTTCCTTTTAAACTTGGATGAGAAGTAAATAGCACACAGATTAAAAATAATAATAATAATAATTCACAAACATTGAAATGGCTAACCTTACTAGGAATAAATCAAAACAGCTGTATAATACTTTTTTCTGTCGTGAAATTGCTGCTTTTAAAACAGCCTTTCTATCCTCAGCATCACAAAAAAACAAAAACCAAACTCGCAGCCATGCACGTGCAGCTGGTGAGGGGCAGGCTCATCCTCTGGCCCAGTGACTTTCATGCCCAGGGTTCCCCCACAGGTCACCGGGGCTGCAGAGTAGCCAGCACAGACGTTGACAGCATGAGATGCAATCACAACAGTGGCTGTGAAGTGAGGCTGAATTACAGTGCTGCAGCAAATACTGTGAAGCAAGAGGAAAGGAGCCGAGATGTAACTAGAGCACTGTAAAGGAGGGAATGGAAGTGGTGGGTGTGTTTTTGGCGGCATGTTAATAACAATAGCTAGTGTTGTGTGTGCCTGGCACTGCCCTGCTCTACCTGCGGGTGAGCTCCTGGAGTCCTCTGCACAGATGATGGCACAGCTGGGCCACGTGGGGGGCCCACATACCACTGGCAGCACAGGTGGGCAGCATGCCACAGGGCCTGCTCTTATGCATGGCACAGGTGCCTCTGGCGTCTGAATTCCATACAGATGGTGGGTCTCTCCTCAGCCGGCACTGTTCACTGGAACCCCAGGCCCAGGACCCTGTGGGTGGTGGCTCACAGGGTCTTTGTTGTGACAGAAGCAGAAAAGATGAGATAGTAAATGGTGTGCAGATAGTTAAAGCAGGCCAGGTTGCAAAGTCCAATTAGGGTATATGTGTGTGTCAATTAGAGGATACACGCGCGCGGCTTTCCTGAGAAGGGATATTAGGGACAGGAAGGAACCAGCCAAGCAATGGCTGGGGAGGTGGCTCCAGGCAGAATAGCTGCTGGGCTCCCAGGGTGGCTAGAGAACAGCACAAAGCTGCTTCCCCTTGTGGTGGAGAAGCACGGGCAGTTCAGAGCCTTGTTTCTGCATCCCACAGCTGAGATTAGTGGCACACTCTGTAAAGAGGCCAACGGAAGTATTCCAGGCTTTGGGGCCACGCAGCCCTGGTAACTGCTCAGCTCACTGTGTTGTAAAAGCCACAAACCGTTTGCAATAAATGTGCACAGCATGCCAGCCTGAATCTGTCTAGTGCCAGTTCTTGGGCCATCTCTGACAGTAAGCAGGGAACCTGTCTTCTGGTGACGCAAGCATCCCTGCACTCCAGGTATTCCTCAGGACAGCCTGCACAGTTAATGGGTACTGGCTAGGTACCCTGCTAGGTCTTTGTCAAGTTGATGGCTCTTGTCCTGCAAATCACCTGCCCGTGCAGATCAGCACAGACTGCATGATTGAGAATAACCTCAGCTTGCATGATATACAGAGCCTGAGTTCACTAGCTAGTGGAAAATCTTTTGCTCATGCAGATTACTGTATTTTTGTTTTATCAGGGTTTAATAACTTAAGTATATGTGATTTTTTGCTTTTTTTATGTTAGTGAGGATTGAGCCCAGACCCTTTGCACTGAGCTACAATCCCCAGTTTTTCTTGTTTTGAAACAGAATCTTGCTAAATTGCCCAGGCAGGGCTCAAGTTTGGATCCTCCTGACTCAGCCTTTCAAAGTACAAGAGTTATTGGCATGCACCACCATGCCGAGCTAATGGTAATCTTTTATCAGCCATATAAATGAGAGAAAAAAGTATCCTTTGGAAAATAACTTGTTGCCGGGTGTGGTGGCACATGCCTGTAATCCCAGCCCTTGGGGAGGCTGAGGCAGGAGGATCCTTGAGTTCAAGGCCAGCCTGGGCTACAAAGTGAGCTCAAGGCCAGCCTGAACTGCATAGCGAGACTCTGTCTCAAAAAGACAAAAGAAAAAAAAGAAAAAAACTTGTTTCATTATGTATTAAATTTTCTAAATCAAATCTGGTGATGCACAGTTGTAGTTCCAGCACTCAGGAGGCTGAAGCAGGAGGATCACAAATTCAAGTGCACCTGGGTAATGTAGTCATTTAGCAAGACCCTGTCTCAAAATAAAAAATAATAAAACAGTTGGGGATATAGTTTAGTGAAAAAGTTGTAGGTTTAACCACCAGCACCAAAAGTAACAAGAAAAGAAACTTCTAATTTATAAGGGATTAAATTGAATTTTTTTCCTTTTTTTAAATTTAAGGTTCATAAAAAGGATTCTGGTTTTTGGCGAGATTTTGGCTTTGGAATGACTTGTCAGTATCAGTCAGACTTCCTGACTATTGGTAAGTATGCAAATTGAAGGATAGAACTTTACGTATTTACTCTAGACTTTCTGGCATTTTTCGAAGGTATCAGAGTTTGAGTTTTCCTATTAAGTGTTTCCAGTTATATCTAGAAAAATAAAAGACAAAGTGAATTTATAATTAATGTTATTTTACTAGCAAAAATGATATAATAAATATACAAGTACAATATGAAATTTACTAGTTCCTTCAAAATCAAAGCACTGATAGTTTTTTAAAACACTTAATGTTTTACCATATTTATAGTTGTTTGGAGTACTCTTAAAAATATCTCCCTCACTGGGTATGGTGGCACACACTTGTAATCTCAGCATTCAGGAGACTGAGGCAAGAGGATCACCGTGAGTTCAAGGCCATCCTGAACTGCATAGTGAAACACTGTCTCATAAAGACCAAAAACAAAACAAAACAAAACAAAAAACCTCTAGCCAGCTGTGGTGGTGCATGCCTGTAATGCCAGGTCTTGGGGGAAGGGACTGAGGCAGGAGGATCGTGAGGCCAGTGTGGGCCACGTAGTGAGTTCAAGGCCAGCCCAGACTGCATAGATGTGTCTCAAACAAAGATCTTGCTGTAACTGTACTATTGTGCTGCTAGGTTATTAGAGCTGCAAGTTATCATGATTATCTAGTCTTTGGACTTGCATTGTTTTTAGAGATGAACCCCTTTTTAATTGTCTGTTGGAGTATTATACAAAGTCTCTGTATTAAAGACAAAAGAAAGAGCTGCTCTTTCTAGCTTGATTGAAGAGGGAGTTTAGGAGTTGGAGTCTCTGGCTTAGCTGTCCACTCTGAACCCAAAACTGTGAGGAAGAGTCTGAGCTGGCCTCTGTCCCCACTGCAGCATCAATCTTCCCCACAGAAATAAAATGCCAGAGATCAGGTCAGGGAAGCAGGCTGAAATCATTGCACATCTCTTGATTGATTTATTATTTATTATCCCTTTCTACAGCATAGAAGTCATAGAATACGCCCTGTGTACATTCTGAGTCCACATGATATTTAATTTCATAATTAGTCATTTGTTTTGGAAATTTTTCCACTTTGTCTATTTATCATTATAATACATAAATAATGGAAAATCAGGAAATAATTATAAAAGCCTGATAAATTAAATGCCCTTTTCCTTGATCTTGCTTAATAAAACAGTAAATGTCCTTCAAAAATAGATTTTAACATCTTTAGCAGTATCTTTTTTTTTTTTTTTTTTTTTTTTTCCAGTACCGGGAATCGAACTCATGACCTTGCACTTGCCAGGCAGGCACTGTGCTGCTGAGCTAAATCCCCAGCCCCTTTAGCAGTATCTTATGTACTTGGAATTCCTTATTTATTTCTTATATTGCAATGTTATTGACATATAATTCATATATCATAAAACTTACCAATCTAAAATGTACTCATTACCTGAGTTCTACAGTTATCACCAAATTTAGAATGTCATCACGCAGAAAGAAGCCCCATGCCTATTTCCAGCCACCCCTCTTCATCCCCAGAGCTAAGCATCCACTAATCTGCATCTGTGGCCTTGCCTTTCTCTCCTGGGCGGTTACTGTAACACAGCTGTGCAGTCTGTGATCTTTGTCCCTGGCTTCTTCCACTCAGTGTAATGTTTCCAAGGTTGATCCATGGTGTAGCATGTGTCAGGTACTTCATTCATTTTTATAGCTGGATAATCCTCCTTTGTGTAGTTGTGCCACATTTTGTTTATCTGTTTTGACAGTAGATGTTTGGGTTCTTTCTCCTTTTTTGACTGTTATGAATACTGCTGCTGGGAGCACCTGTGTATACTTCTTTGTGTACAAATAGGCTTTCTGTTCTTTCAGCTGTATACCTAGCATAGCCTTGCTAGGTCATGTGCTAACACTGTGTTTAACCTCTGAGGAACTGCTGTGCTGTTTTCCAGAGTGGCTGAATCAGTTTATCTTTCCACCAGCTCAGTGTCTTTACATCCCCATGAGTAGCATGCCACTTACCTCTCTTGTTTCTAGCAATCACAGTGGGTGCAAGGTGGTATCTCCTTGTGTGTTTGACTAGTTTTTCTGATGGCTAATAATGATGAGCATCTTTTCATGTGCTTGCTGCCCATTTATATATCTTGCTTAGTGGAATATCTGTTCTTATCCTTTGTACATTATTAATTGGGTTATTGGGGTTTGTTAGGATATGTGCAATAAGATTTTTCATTATTTGCCATTATGTCTGTATATTTTTTTCTGCTCCTTTCTCATTGTTCTCTCTCTCTGATTCTCTCACTGTGTGTATGTTGGTACACCCAGTGGATCTTTCATTTCCCTGAAGCCCAGTTCATTCTCTTTGTTCTTTCTTCCTCTGTTCATCAGACTGCTCTCCATAAATTTGTCTTCAAGTTCTCTGACTTTTTCCTTTGTTAGTTAAGATTTACTATTGAGTTAATCTGATGAATTTTTCATTTCTTTTATTATACTTTTTTAACTATAGAATTTCCATTCAGTTCCACATATGTAGTAGTATATATGTATGTGTAATATCTGTCTTTGGTAGTAGTCTTTATTTGATAAGACACTATCATCTTACAATCGGTTACTTTTCAAGCATGAGTTATTTTGATTCTGTGAGTATTCTTGTATTGACTGCTTTGGAGCCTTTGTCTGTTGAAGAAAACACATGGCCCTATCACTGCAGTCTTTATCACCTGCTTTTTCTCTGGTGTATGACCATACCTTCCTGTTCTTTGTATGCTGTTTAGTTTCTGTTTTGAAAACTGAGTGTTTTAGGTAACATATTGTGGCAACTGTAGATATTGACACCCCATGCTTCTGAGGCATGTCTTTGTCTTTCCTTACTTCTGCATTAATGTGGCTGAATTATTTGGTGAATTCTTTCTCCCTCCTCCCTCAACCCTACCAGTGCCAAGCCCCTGATGCCACTATCAGAGCACATGCAATTTCTTCCTGGGTGCACTGCATTTGGCAGGGCTCTCTTGGTCTCTTCCTGTGTCTTTGTTGATATCACTTGCAACTGTCAGGTACACTGGCTGCTCACTAACTGCTGTCTTGTTTTTGATAATGCTCAGGGCATAAATTGCTCTGTGATGTGAACCAATTAATTTGGGCCTTTTTAAAGGGGTAGTTTTGGAAGCAGTCTTTGAGATTGGTTTGGAGCCCAGAAGAAATCTTAACTGACTGTCTCTGTGGTGCTCTCTGGTAACCTAGCTGGCCTGCAGTTTAGCTTGTGGTCTTTGTGGAGTTACCATCCTCCTTTTAATTGCTTATAACCACACTCTTGTTTTCAAGAGCCTCCTTCTTGAAGCTTGATCTTCCTTATACTCTGTTTCAAACACAGTCAGTTCCTTTAAAAAGAGCATTGGAGCTGTGTGTTCTTATGGACTTCTTCCCTTGGGAGAAAAAATCTCTGAGCTTCTGCTTGAAACTGGGAACAACAACAGTAGTACACTTCTCATAAACAAAGTGACATCCCTGTGGTAGGAGCAGTAGGGCCCCCAATATTCTCTGCCTGCATATCTAGAATAAAGCCTTTGTACTAATGGTGTAACTAACTGGTGAGGAAGGGAGTGATACCCCTTGGATAGAGCTTATCCCTTTCTCTGTTTCCTCTCTGTATTAGTCAGCTTTCCCATTGGTGATACGAAATACATGACACCCACAGCTTAGAAGAGAGATTTGTGTTGGCTCAGTTTCAGAGGGTTCAGTCCATGGTTGACTGGCTCTAAGACAAAAACATCATGGTGGAGGGGCACAGTGGAACAAGCTGCTTAGTTCAGAAGCAGAGAAAGGGAGCAGTGCCCGAGAGGAAGGGGACAGGGCCCAGATATAAACCTTAAGCTAACACTTCCACGACCACCCAGACATACCCAGAGTGTGCTTTACTAATCTCTGGGGGGCTCTCAAACCAATCAAGTGGACAATACAGCTTAATTGTCACATTACACACTTTCCTCATTGCTGAGACAAAATACCTAACATCCATAATTAAAGGAGGAAAGATTTGTTTGGCTCACAGTCTGTAGAGGTTTCAGTCCATAGTCAGCTGGCTTCAAGGTAGGTTGGCATGGCAGGCAAGCATTCAAGAGGAGAAGCAGTTCATGGTGGGCAGAAGGTAGCAAAGCAAGCAAGGGATGATCACAGCTCTTTCTATCCCTTATATCTTATTCAGGCTGCTTAGAGCAGGTAGCACTCACACCCTTAATCCTAGTGCCCTCGATCTGAGCATTGTACCATGAATCAACTGCAGCATCACACAGCTAGATCCAGCCACCTCTGAAAAAGCCACAACTATGAGACTTTGGGGGACATCTAAACACAAGCTATAACATACTGCTTGTCAACTTGATGCTCAAACACATCTCTTTAAATTATGCTTAATCCCCAGATAGACACAGTAGCAAGCTTACAATTCTGTTTCACATGATACAGCTATCCTACATACAGCTGAAAGTGAAATAATTCCTTACCCCAAAGTCTCAACAGTTCAATATTGCTCAAAAGTTCAAGTCCAAGTCTTCTCTAAGATTCATGGCAAACTCTTAGCTGTGAACCTCTGAAAAATTCGAAAAGTGAGTTGCTTAATACCAAAATACAATTGTACATGTCACACATTCCCATTCCAAAAGGGAAAAAGAGAGATAGAAAAAAAAAAAGGATCAAAGCGGACAGAAACCCAGCAGGACAAACATTAAGTCCTGCAGTTCTGTGTCCAGCTTCTGGGGCACATGATGGTGAGATACGAGGTCCAGTGGACTTGGGCAGCCCCACCCCTGTGGCTTCTCAGTTGTAACCCACATGTCTTCTCTGGGGCTGTGGTTCTGCTCGCTGCCTGCAACTTTCCTTGGCAAACATGGCATGTTCCCAGCATCTGACTTCCTGGAGTCTCCACTTTTTAGTTTCCTTTCATAGCTTCAGCCACCTCCTCTGAGGGCCATGCAGAGGGCCTGGCTGCCATGTCCAGCACAGCTCTCAAAGTTCCCAGGGGGAAAGATGGCAAGAGGATGGAGAAATAAAGATAAGAGACAATATACAGAAAGCTGAGGTCAGGTATAGCCCTCTCTCCAGATAGGAAGAAAAGGAACTGCTCAACCACTGCAGCGTATTTATTTATTCATTTAGCAAGTTGATGTCAGGTGAAACCCCTTTGCTTAACAACTAACTCACCTCTCACACCTCCTGTTCTCACATGGGGCTGGAATACCTGTTCGCCTTGGTGCCCTTGAGGCATTGTTTGAGTGTTCTGTGCTTTTGGCTCCATATGTGGGAACAATCTCCAGATCAGCTGCTCCTGACTGGCCTCCAAGCCTGCCTTTGAAATCTTGGTGGAAGCCTCCATGACACCACAACTCTTGCATTTTACATACCTGGAAAATCATTATTACATGGATGACACGAAGGTCAGAAGTATCACATGAGTGACACCAGCATGAAGATGACCTTGGACCATGTTGCAGTAGCCTCTGAGTGCCTGGATGGCTCAGCATGGTGAAGTGAGTCTCAGGGAACTCCAGGGAACCAATACCCTAGGCTGCCATTCTTTAGCAGAGGGCCTAGGGCCCTCTCTTCTCAAGTGAAAAGTTTATACTTTTGCACCTTTGAGCCTGCAATGACTGGGGTTTTGCTGATTCCTGAGACGCCCTCAAGGTGGCATCTTGAGCTGTTGGCAAAGTACTTGGTGTCTTTTTAATGGCACTAATCTCTTTAGGAACAGCACCTCCTTTGGCCCCAGGTTTATAAATGGTTTCTTTGTGGGACAAAATTTAAATTTTTCAGATTTTTCTGCTCTGCTCTTTGCTCCTGATTCTCACTGTAAATCTGCCTAAAAAGAGCAAGCAGTACTCTTGCAACAACCTGAACCTTTGGCAGCCTTGAAATTTCCCTCACTAGATCAGTTAGTCATGCTCAGTTTTAGGACACAGGCAAAATGTAGTCAGTTTATTTGCCAGAGTATAACACACATGGCCTTGAGTCTTAATTCTCCATTAAGTTTTACTTCCCAAGTGAAAATTCATGAACCCGGCTTTTATTGTCTGCATTCCTATCAGCATTCTGGTCTGAGCTTTGACCAGAATTGTCCCTCATGCTCTGCTTACAGCATTCTAGGCTTCTTTAGCCACACCTTTGAGCTGTCCTAAACACTTTCTGAAAACCAGTTCCAGTGGCTGCTGAACCACATGGTCAGGTAGAGTCCCAGCAACAACCCCACTTCTTAGTACCACCTGCAGTTTAAAGGAGGAGAGGTTTATTTGATTCACAGTTTCAGATGGTTCACTCCATGGTTGAGTCGTGTCCAAGGCAGAAACATCATGACAGAGGGGTGCGGTGGAACAGTACTGCTTAGTGCATGGCAGCCAGGAAGCAGAGCAGGGGAACATTGCCTCAGAGGACGGGACTAGGGGGCAGACATGTACCACAAGGTCACACCTCCATGACCCACCTAGGTATACCCAGAGTGTGTTCTAGTAATCTCCTGGGTGGCTGTCAAGCCAGACAAATTAAAGTCAAGCTAAACTGTCACATTCTCTCATTATACATATGTTACAACTTTTGTAGTTGTCCCTCAGTTCTTGGATATTCCATTGTGTTTTTTTCAGTCATTTTTCTCTTTGCTGTTAGCTTTGAAGTTTCTGTTGTTATATCCTAAAACGCGAAGATTCATTCTTCAGGCATGTCTGGTCTTCTAACGAGCTCATCAAAGATGTTCTCCATTTCTGTTACATGTTTTTGGTCTATAGATTCCTTTTAGATTCTTCATAAATTTCCATTTTGCTTACATTGCTCATCTCACATGTTGTCTACTTACTCCTTTAGACATATTAATCATAATTGTTTTAAATTCCCAGCATGGTAATTCCAACATTTCTGCCATATCTGACTCTGGGTCTGGTGTTTACTCTCTCTTCAAACTGTCTTTTTCCTTTTACTCTGTTCAAAGCTGAATTTAAGGCACTGAGTGGACAGGACTGTAGTCCACGGGCCTTGGGTGATGTGGGAGGTGGGGCAGCGGGCACACTACAGCTCTGAGAGATCCAGTACTTACAGAGGCTGTGTCCCTGCAGGCCCACTCTTTTTCTTAAGCCGGATGGCTCATTGGCCTAGAGCTGGTACTTCCCTTCCACTGCTCACTAGGTCCTGGTGATGTGGTTTTTCTTCAGGTCAGGCCTTGTTGTGAAGAATAGGATGCCCTGGTGTGTTTCAGAATTGCTTCCTTTCCCCTTCCCTTACCAGAATCACTGGAGAATTTTTCTTACTCATTTAGAGTCACTTCTCTGTCTGTTTTGCTGATTTGCCTATCTCTACCTCTGTTAAACCTCTGTAGATGGGCATTTCTTAGTGTTTAGGCCTCACCCTTATTTTCCTTCAGAAATTTAAATAATTTCACTCATTCCTGTGGCTTTATGGACTCCTTTCCAAATTTCTGTGTCCAGCGTGGCCCTTTCTTTTTTTCTGCCCTCTGCAAAGTTTTCTGCAGCCCCAGAAAACTTGAATCTCAAAGGGTAAGAGAATAAAGGCCAGCTGGTATATGCCTATAATCCCAGCACTCAGGAGGCTGAGGCAGGAGGATCGCCACTACACAGGGAGTTCAAGCCCAGCCTGAGCTACATAGATCCTGTCTCAAAAACCAAAAATAAAAATAAAAGAATAAAAATGAAACCTTGATCGTGGCAACAGTGTAGGTGATGTATATTTCCTTCTCCTTTACTGACTTCCTACAGAACTCAGGTTTATACTGTGTTCTCAGATGGTTAACCTCTTTCTCGTGCTCTCAGCCCCCAAGGGGGGAGACAGCCGCCTGCTGACTTCCACGAGCAGTGGGCGCCATGCAGTGCTCTGTGCAGGGCCAAGCCATTGCACTGCAGTCCCCCTGATGCGGGCTTGTGCGCCTCCGGCCAGGCACCACTGACAGCGTGCACTTTGATTCTGCAGGTGGGTTTGACATGGAAGTGAAAGGCTGGGGTGGAGAAGATGTCCACCTGTATCGGAAGTACTTACACAGCGACCTGATTGTGGTGCGGACCCCACTCCCTGGTCTTTTCCACCTCTGGCACGAGAAGCACTGTGCAGATGAGCTGACGCCAGAGCAGTACCGCATGTGCATCCAGTCCAAGGCCATGAGCGAAGCCTCGCATTCCCACCTGGGCATGATGGTCTTCCGGGAGGAGATTGAGATGCACCTCCACAAGCAGGCCTACCGGACGCACAGCGAGGCCGCGGGGTAGCACTCGAAGCGTGCTGCGCGCAGTCTGACTATAAGCCAGCAGTATTCGTTCAGCCTTACTTCCTCTTCCAGGCGCCATGCCTGTCCTGGAGAAGACACATTTCTTGTGTGCGTTCTGATGTTTTTGCAATTCACAGTTACAAGAAGAAAAAATGAGTGCTTCAGTGCAAAGCCTGCTTTGTGATGTACTGCTCTGTAGAGTGGTCAACGAAAGGAAATCAGTGTTTGCCCCAGAAGTAGCTTGGGATTCATTTCTACCTGGGGCCTGTGTTGTGAAGGCAGGATTATGCGGTGCAGTTGCACCAAGATGAGGTGGTGAGCTGTGCGGCTGACCTGTAGGACAGCAGCTTCCTGTGGGGTGCAGACCCGCTGCTCCACCTGCCAACCAGCACGTCAGTCAGCCTGCTCCCTCTTTAAATGAGAGCTTTGCTTGACAGCATGAAGAAGCAGTGGGTAATGAAATGCTGCATCTGAAATCCCACCTGGTCGACAGAAGGTAGAAGTAAAGCCCCATAACCTACTGTTCCTTAGCCTCTAGAGGTCCGTCCCTAAGCAAATGGGTAAAAGTGCAAAACAGGTTAGAATATAAAGTATATCACCATGTCCTGGATTAGTAGTCAGAGTTGCTGTCAGCTGCTTTGAATGAAAGTAGTACATGGAAACATGTTTAACAGAACACTTGGTACACTGGCGTGCAGGCTACCCGCTGTGTCCCAGGCGGAAGTTTCCATGAGCCAGACACATGGGCCTCCTGAGAAGGCGCAGACTGGACCCGAGAGTTTGGTTTCTGCTTTGCCTTTCCTCATTTAGCATGGATTCATTTATATTTATTATCCTTCATTTTCTAATACGCTAATATTTGCTACATCTGTATTTGCATTACTATAATACTTTGAGTGGAAAGAGCATTTCACTAAAGGAGAAGAAGAGGTGCAAGATCAGTCTGATGTGAGAGCAAGGATGGCAACCTAACAGACGTGAGAATGGCTGTGGCTTTAGAGAAATATGTCACTTGCAAACAAGATGTTTTAATTCAAGTGTTACATCAGTGAGACAGGATGAGTAAGAAGTTACAGTCAGACAGGACTGTACTGCATTATTTATTACACATGGCCCTTTTACCATTGGGGCAGTTGCTATATCCAGAAACTGGGAGAAAAGGTGAAGGGCATGCATAAGCTTGTAACCTTTGCCTTTTTAAAGGGCCCTGATATTTGTATATAAACCCCCAAAATTCACAGAAGTATTGATGATATGATTTACTGTTTTTGCTCAGTAAGTCATATCGTTTGAACTGTTACAAATTCCAAATTTCTAGGTGCTACACAAATCCAATTTTACAATAACTAATTGTTCTTAGAAATTTTAAGTTGGGAGAATGTTTCTTAAGTTACATAAAAGATATCTCCAAAGTAATGCAGGCCATTGTCTCCTTTTGTATGCAGCTATTTATTATGAAGACCAGTGAATTATGGTATTAAAATGAGAGAATTAAATTATTGGCAAAAGTAAATTGCCATTTGCCTTTGTGGAATAATCAAGCGATTTTCTTTTTTTTTAACTCCCGTTTTTTAAAACTAGCTTATAACTTAAAGATGGAAACAGCACTGGAACTGTCGCTGTGTTTTTGACATTAAATGGTACTAATAAAGTATTTTATTACCAAAAGTTAAATAAAAACCATGGTAAATTAATTACTATAAAATCTCATAAATACAAAATATGCATAATATGCCATTATGTACTTCAAGAATAATAAAGCAAACACCAGCGCACCACCACCCAGGTGAAGACACAGGCTCTGGGCACCCTTTGGTACCACATGCCTCGCCCTCTCCACAATATTTGACTCGTGTGATGTTTCCACTTGCTCTTTGTATTTTTCCCAACTACATATGTGTCTCTGCCCAATATACTGTTTAATTTTGATGTTTTTGAATTTTCATATATATATATTATATATATATAATTTCATTATATGTTCTCTTGTACTCAGTATTAAGTTTTAGGGGTTCACCCATTGTTAATCTTGAAATTAGTTCATTAGTTCATTAGTTTGTTACTATGAGTTCAATAGTATTCTATTTTTTTTTTAATTTTAAAGAGTAAAAGAAGGATAACAGTAATAAGAGGGCTTACCAAATTACAGACAAAGTGGTGGGAAATTATCAATGGTTGTTGTTTTACATATTATCATCTACAAGATAGCTTCTCAGAATAGTATTCTATTACTAATATACGGTGATACTTTAAAATTCTATTTTATTGATAAATCTCTGTGGTGTTTCCAGTTCTTTGTTATTCCGCTGTCTGCAGTTTGGGTGTTGCTCGTCTGGGTTTGCTGTCCCAAGAGTATGTTGTGACCACAGCCAAGCCCCTCTCTTGGAAGCCACCTGCAGTTCTCCAGGAGCGGGAGCAGCTGTGTGGATCCCACCTTACAGCCTTGGCAACACCCAATTTCATCAGACCTGTTCATTCTTGCCGTTTGAGTGGGCTATAGAGATGGATTGTAGTTATAATTTTGCATTTTCAATTTTTTTGCCCATTATTAGCAGTTCCTAGGCATTCCCGACGTACTCTAGACAAAACAGTTCTTGGTTAAATGTTTGCAGATATCTTCTCCCAGGATGTGGTTTGTCTCTTTCCATTCTGATGGTACTTTTTGATGAACAAAAATTAATATGGATAATCTTTTTCCTTTGTGACTTCTCCTTTTTAAATAAACTTTTTTTTGGAACAGTTTTAAGTTCAGAGCAAGACTGAACAGAAGGTGCAGAAAGTGTCTGTAATGAGCAGTGTCCTTTTACCCATCGGTTCACTTTCTGCAGTTTCAGTTAACCATGGTTAGGAAATATTAAGTGGAAAATTGCAGAAATTCATAAAACTTCAGTCCACCCCCTTCTGAATAGTGTGATGAAATCTCACACTGTCCCGCTCCATCCTGCCTGGGACATGCACTATCCCTCCATCCAGCAGGTCTACACCACGTCTGCTGCTCACTGCGTGGCCCTCTCGGGTATCAGGTCCGCCTTGGCAGATCACAGTGTCAGTTCAAATGCGAAGGCCAGCCCTCGCCTGCACTGTACCGCGGTGCTGTGTGGCTTACCTCCTGTACCTCAGCACGTGGGTCACATCCTACATCCCTACATGAAGGGTGAGTGCCATACAGGGTCTTTGAAGACAGAAACCACATTCACATAAGCTTTATATGGTATATTGTTGTAATTGTTCTGTCACTAATCTCTTAATGTGTTCAATTTATAAGTCAACCTCCTGGCATTGTATGTGGATGTGGAGCTTGTGTGTGGAGTTTGGATCTACCCAGGCTTCATGCATGCACAGGGTCTGGCACATGGCCGCTGTGGGTGAGGGCACAACTGTTCCTCCTGTTCACACACGTGCAGCCCCCACCAGCATCCTGCCCTAAAGTGATGGATCAGTTAGGGTTGATGGACCTGCATCAACGCATTATCACCCAAGTCTACAGTTCACACTGGGTTCCTTCCCTCTTGGGATTGGATTGTCTGATATACCAGGTTTCCATTCACCTACTGATGGGCACTTTGGTCATTTCCTGGTTTTGACAGTTTTGAACAAAGTTCTGTAAGGTTCCATGGATGGGTTTTTGTTGGGATGTAAGCACTCAGCTCCTTTAGGCAAAATCACAGAGTACAACTGCTAGATTGCGTGGTAGCATGTGTTTGGTTTTGTAAAACTCCCAAGGGTCTTCTAAAATGACTGTGTGACTTTGTATCCCACCAGCTGGGAACAAGCGGTCCTGTCCCACCTCCTCATGACATTGGTGGGTCTGTTCTAAAATTGGCTGTTCAGAGTTGGGCATGGTGGCGCACACCTGTAATCCCAGCACTCGGGAGGCTGAGGCAGGAGGATCGTTGCAAGTTCGAGACCAGCTTGGGCTACAAAATGAGTTCAAGGCCAGCCTGAACTGCATAGTGAGACCCTGTCTCAAAAAAGACCAAAAAAAAAAGTGGCTGTTCAAATCGAGCCCTAGTAATATCTTACTGGTGCCTTGATTTGCATTTCCCTGTGAACATGGCTATGGGGCATCTCTGCATATGTTTGCATTCCATCTGTGTGTCTGTGGTGAGATACTGGCTCCTAATTTTTGTCAGTGATTATAACTTCATAATAGGAAAGGGTTTCTTAAAGATAATGCATATTCTAAACATCTCAAACAGCTTTGCTTCATTCAGATCTACAACCTAATGGAGAGGAGTTTTGCAATGTCAGACGAGGACTGCATTCCTCTTTCCCCAGCACTACCTTAGGGGGGTCCTGTACTTCACCTCCACAAGTCCTGGCCAGCTGAGGGCAGAAGCACAGCACCTTGATCCCCATCTGGGAGAGCTTGGCCAAGCACCTTGTTCTTGAAAGTGACAGTGGCTGCCACAGCTTTTATAGTTTCGTATAAATGTTAGAATAAACTGGTTTCACAAAAAAATTTTATGAATATGGGGTCTCACTGAATCCATAAGGTCACTTTAAGAAGAACAGCATCTATATGATGTGGGGGTTTCAATCCCTGAACATGACATATCTGTCGACTGTACTGTCTTTCAGATGAGTCTGTAATGTTTTCATATAGCGAATTTACATGTAGTTTTGTTTACATTTTTGCTTTTTGATAGTATTGTACCTGTCTCATCAACTTTTATTGTCTCTTGCTGGTGTTTAGAAATCATTAATTTTGCGTGCTAATTTTTGTGTTCAGAAACCTTCCCAAATTCTGATGTACAGTCATCCCTCTCAGTTCATGAGTGCTTTTGTTTGAGAACAGTCTAGTTCACAAACAGAGCATCTGGCAAAATTTGGGTTGGTTTTTGTATTTTTTTTTTTTTATTTTTTTAGAGGGGGACAAGATCTCACTATGTGGTTCAGGCTGCCCTTGAACTTACTGTGTAGCCCATGCTGGCCTCGAACTTGGAGCAACCCTCCTGCCTCAGCCTCCCAGGAACTAGGATGGCACACACCAGCTTCAAGAGCTCAGCTTGGATCATCTTGTTGGAGGGCTCCAGCTTCAGCGCTGCCTGTAGGACGGGACTGGCCTCGCTGCAATTGCCCTGCTGTGCTAGAACCTTGCACCTGGGGAACAGCACCTTGACGTTGGGCTAGAGCTCGAGCACCAGGCTGCAGGAGTGCAGGGCAGCACAGTAGTAGTCTAGCTTGAGCTATGAGGCTGTCAGGTTGTTGAGGCACTTGAACTTCAGCTGCAGCAGCTGCCCTTCCTCCTGAAAGGTCATGTCCACTTTGGCAGTGGAGGTGATGGCCTCGATGGCCAGATTGTAGGGGTTGGTGGCCAGCGGTGGTAGTGGGTGTTGCTGTACTCGCACTTCCACTTGGCTCCTGGCCTGTGAGCAGCTCCAGGTCACTGCTGTCCTCCACCGTCTTTAGGGGCACCTCCAGGCACAGCACCACATGTAGGGGTGTGGGGGCTCCTGCTCCAGGGGCCATAGCAATACTTGGAGTCGGCAGTGACCATAGCTGTCTTGCCCACATCCATGAGGGGCATGCTGAGGTCCAGGGCCTGAATGACATCACAGTTGCCCAGGGTGAAGGCCAGGTCAGGCTCCTTCTGTACCCGTGTGCCATTCTCCGCAGCTGCATGGTCACCACTGGGCCCTTGGTGGGCGTGCGCCACTACACCCGCCAACATGTGGCAACATTTTGTTTTTGTTTGCATTGGGTGACAAACACAACTGAAGCCATCTTTTCCACACAAACAAACATGACCATCTTTTCTAAAATCATAAAACAAATTAAGTTCATGAACCAAAGTACCACTGTGCTGCTAGTTTATTTTGCATTTTTCCTCTTATACAGCCATAACATATCTGTGAGAGCTTTGTTTCATTTCTCCATTTTCAGACATTGGATTTCTGTTCCTTGCTTCCCTGTGTTCTCCCATGTGTCCTGCCATGATGGTGGCCGTGGGATGGGGCTTGTCAGACAGAGGCCAAAAAAAAAAAAAAAAAGACGAGGCCAAGGCCATCACATTAGCATGTCATCTGTAACAACCATGTTTGCTGGAAGATTTTGGAGAAAACTTTTAACAGGCTAAGAAGATTTCCTTCTGGTTTTACTTGTTGAGTTTCTGTCATGCTTAAGAGCATTTATCAAGTTCCTTTACTACAGCTGTCAAGATGATGCTGACTTTCCCTCCTATTGATGAACTGGGTTAATAGGTTTTCTGAAAGAGCCTCACATTCCCAGGGCAGGTCACATTTTATCCTTTGTGTTGCTGAGTTTGGTTTCATACATGTGCACACACGTGTCCTTTGTGCAGTGTGTGTGTGTGTGTGTGTGTGTGTGTGTGTATGTGAGATTGAAATGTCCTCATCTGTGTCTCTGAGGAGGACTGCCTGCCGCTTACCTTTCCTAGCCATGGTGGCCTTTTCTATGAAGGTTATCCAAGATTATAAAATAGGTCACCAATGCTCTCCCTTACCATTTTTAGACGCATTCAATTCTTTCTTGAGGCTCTGTCGTGCTGTTCAGACCACCTGGGCATGAACTTTCCTGTAAGAATTGGGATCACTGCTTCCATTCATTTAATGATTGTAGAACTATTTAGGTTTTGTTTTTTCCTAGAGTCAGCTTGTTCTGTAGTATTTTAGGTCAATTATAATTTTCTAGAAATTTATACTAATCCATTTGAAAGTTTGGAAGAAATTTACAGTTACCTTCTTTCCTTTTCTCCCTCTCTCCCTCTCTTTCCCTGTCTGTCTGTCTGTCTGTCTGTCTATCTATCTATCTATCTGTCTGTCTTGCTACTGGAGATTGAACCCAGGGCCTTTGTGTGGAGCTACATCCCCAACCTTGTGTTCTGGATTTGAGTCCTTTCTCAGATTTATATATTCCAAATATCTTCTCCAAGGAAGGGCCCTATTTTTCACTCTCTTAAACAAAAGTTCTGAATTAAAGTCCAGTTCACCAATCTTCCTTCATAGCTAGAGAATTTAATATTAAGTAACCTTTGCCTATTCCAATTTGTAGTAGAATTTTCATGTTTCTTCTAGATACTTTCTTGTATTGACTTTCAATTTATATCTACAGTCCATCTGGAAATTTTTTTGTTTCTTTTTAATTTTTAGTTTTATTAGTCACATTTCCTTGCATAGTGACACCACTCACTGTGGGAAATTGGTGAGTCCTTACAAAGTCAGCTGTCGTACATACGGATTCAGTCAGACACCAGGCCAAAAACCTTATGCAACAGCTAAGACAGCAGGGCTGGGGGTTTAGCTCAGCGGCACAGCACCTGCCTGGTAAGCGCAAGATTGAGAGTTCGATTCCTGGTACTGGAGAAAAACAAACAAACAAAAAAAACCACCTAAGACAGTTATGCTTAGTCAAGGTACACCTTTAGGTACATTTTCCATGCTGGATTACAATAACTTCTTTCTTTTTTTCTCTTTTGCCTATTTTTATTTTGCACTTTGCTTATACATTGAGTTTCTTGTATAAGAAAGACCATGTGATACGTATTTAAATAATTTTTCCAGGTGGACTACAGGAGGATCTAACATTGTTTCTTTGGCGAAAATGCTGATTGCAAACTCCACCTCAGTTTGCCTGTAAACATCTCCATGTGCTCCTTCATGGAGGCAGTGTGTGCTGAAGGCCGGAGAGTACTGTTGGCCGCTCCCTGCAGCCACACTACATGGCGCTCCCCTCTCCTGCGGTTCCCTCTGTGCGCTGCCCACGTGGCGCTGGCCTGGAGCGATGGAGGGCCAGGCTGTCCCCTGGAGTCCCATAGTGCCCTTTCTGTGTATCTGCATGTGGGTATTTTCTGATCCTGCTTGAGATTCTTTGGGCTCCTGGGATTGTTGTCTTACATCAGTTGTGGGACGTCCTCGGCTATCGTGTGCTGGAGTGTTGTCTCTGCCTGGCCCTTTCTCGGTCGCTCTGCTGTTGTGTACGAAACTGTCCCTGCAGCCTCCATGACTCACGCCCGAGTTCTTGGCTGTGTTCTGTGTTACATAATGGTAATTTCATCTGAATCGTGGCCAAGCAGATTTTGAAAACACTAAATAGAACACGTAGAAATGAAAACTGCAATAACTGAATGCTTAAACCTCAGTGGCTAGGAATAACAAAAGATGAGACAGGGCCAAGGGGGGATTTCAAAGCCTAGAGAATAGGCCAGGTGTTTGCTTCTGCTGAGTGGTTGGAGACAGGGCCAGGCTGGGACCACGCCAGACTAAATCCTCTGCTTGAAGCCTGTGGGCCAGTGTGACTTGTGCTCACAGCCTTGTGAAGCTCACAGGGGATCCTGGGCTCCATTCAGTGCCCGGGGTCAGCCCAGGTGGTTCCCCTAAAGCCCCGTGGTGGGCTCGGGCAGCGGTTGGCCTCAAGCTTACTGCCACCTGAGGTGTGTTTCCATGGGTGCCAGCACCCTTTTCATCCTCTGCGGGAGTGTGCTGGGTCTCAGGGTGCTGAGAACGCATGAGCCCTCATACATGGGGTGTGATGGGTTAGCATCTGCTGCAGACGCATGCCGGGGCCCGGGCCTGTTGGGTACACACTTGACGGCCCCTTCTCACCTTCCTAACTTAGGACTTCTTTTGAGGGGAATACTGATGAACACTGTTAGACATGATCTAAACTGGCCGTGGGTGGGTTATAGGGTGTGTGTTTAGAAAATTGTTCTAAATTCCAAATTTACGTGAATTTTTTCCCTCAGATAAGCTTGTGTAGTGGTTGAATTTAACCGCAGAGTGGATCTTTTGATGGTAGTGTGCCTCTGCTCCAGGACCTGTCCTGTGAGAAGGTGCTGCAGTCAGGCTTGCACCCTAAGCCTCCCCTGTCCTGACCCAAGACCAAGGTGGTCATGACTCCATTTAACTCTGAGCAAGTGGAGCTTGAAGAGCTAAGTGACTCATCCCAGCTGCTGGGAGCTGGGACCAGGCCTCAGGCCCGGAGCTGCCTTCCCACCCACAGTGCTGACCGGGCCTGCTCGGCCTCCCTGGGCGTGGGTATGCGCATCCCATCACAGGAGTCTCCCACTGTGGCTCTGTTCCGCGAGTGAGTGAGGCGGGGGTGATGCTGCAGAGGAGCCAGCTGTACTCCGGAGGCTGGACCAGTGCACAGGCATGGGGACTGCGCGTGCGTGGGGAGGAGTCGCCCACACACAGCTGCCACTGGTGGGAGCGCCTAGGGGCTGGTGTGCTGGCGGGCATGCCTTTTCTGTGTGCAAGGGTGTCAGGGACACAGGCTGCCTAGTTCATAGGGCCTGCAAGAGACATAGGGGCTGCTGGCCTGGCACCAGCCCAAGAGCCACTGCGCAGAGGAGCCCATCAGTGCCACCCACCCCACGGGCGCCGGAGGGCTGGGCACCCTGGCCACACCGCAGCATTCAGTGCCCATATGCGTTCATGACCAGCATCCCGGGCAGTGCAACCACAGGATGTCCTGTCATGCAGACAACTTCCTGCCAGGCAGCACTGGCCTCGCAGGATGCCAGACACTGAGCTCGTCAAGGCCTGCAGAGCTGCAGCAAAGGCCTCATCCAGCAGGCTGTCACCAGGAAGGAGGGAAGGCAGCGGGGCAGGGCACCAGCTCCCCCTCTTTCCTTCCCAGGCTGGGGTGTGCTAAGCACACCCTGCTATGTGTGTGACTCATGGCCCCACTATGCCAGGGAACTGGCTAGTCCTGCAGGGAAGGGGCCTCTGTGACCTTAAGTAGGTGTCCTCCAAACATGTGGCTGCACACCACCACACCCAACAATGTCTTCTGCAGCGTGCTTTGAGGGAGCAGGACTGGAGTCCTGTCCAGGAAGCAGACGGAAGCTCCTTGCCCAGGCCCTGGGGCTGTGGTGGATTCTGGCAGCTGCTGCCACTTCCTCCTCCCCTTCTTCCCCTATCCCTCCCCTCCATATCCCCTTCTCCTCTTCCTCCTCTTCTTCCGCTCCTCCCCACCCCCTTGCCCAGCCTCACTACACACACAAGCGCAGGCAGGTGGGGGACGACATATTCTTTTATTGATGCAAGTATGACCAATCACACCAAAACTGACATCCTGCATTATGGTACAGCTTTATACTCAGAGATCACCTCAAGATACCAAAACATTGAATTTAGGCTAGGTATCAAACCAGGAAAGGAAAGTAGCAAACGTGAACACTGTTTCAAGTACTAGAACTGAGACCAAGCGCACACTGACATGAAGGCTCCTCAACACATGGGAAATGTTCTAACTTTGTATCCAAATATATATTCTCAATTTCAGCCTTTCTTATCCCAAAGCGTAAACAGAGCAGTACGCACTGTCCTGTGCAATCCGTCCCTCGGGCAGGAAAGTGCAGACACCGGGCACGGTGCGGCTCAGGCCCCTGGAGCCCAGAGAGGGCAGGGCGAGGCGCCCCGAGGGAGACCGTCGGTGTGGCCTACCGCACCACCGACCCGGTCAGTAAGGCCCAGGGTTTGTGCCGGGAGGTTGACGTGGGATGTGGGTGACACCCACTCCGGTGTGCGGCCCCATCCCAGTTGGGCAGTTTTGTGGAAAGGGCTCCAGTGGACCTGCCTGGCGATCTTCCAGGTTCAATTCTGTGCAAGGGGGCGTCGGGCACCGCACGCACACCCACGGGGCTCCTCGTCCCTCTGTGTGGGGTTTCGGGAGCAGCTTTGGATGGCACCGTCCCCCTGTCCACTCTGTGATCGCCTCAGGACAGCTCAGGGTGTTTTTCAGTTACAAGCCCTACCAGAAGGCCAGCAATCCCTGTTATTTTACATTTGTTCTTTTCGAAAATGCAATTAAAGATCCATCTGTAAGACTTGGTCTTACAGAAAACACACTGCCAGGCCACCCCCTTGCCCTCCCTGACCCCTAAATCCCTGATAAAGTAAAATGAAAATGTAAACTTTGGAAAGCCCGCATCGAAGGCTCGCCGCCCTCCGGCCGCCCCAGCCCCTCCCCAGGAGCCGCTGCCCAGGGCAGGGCTCGAGCAGGAAGACCGGACCCCAGTACCCTCTAAGGCACTAACCCGACATCAGAGACTGGCTGGGAAGGTGTCCGAGCAGGCAGGGCTCACGCTGCTGCTTTTGGTTGGGTTTTCTAAATATTTTCTCATAAGATGTTCATAATCAAAAGTAGAAAATAAAACTCTACATTTCGTTAGAAGATGCTATCATGGATACCATCTCCCTTGATACTCTTTCCCACCCCTCCCCAAAGCAGGGCCCTGCCCTGTTACTCAAAATAAACAAAAATCTTTGTAAGTGCCAAAGGTTGATGCATGAAATAATTACCATTTTCTTTTTCATAAAAGTTATGTACAAAATGGACCCCAACCAGTGAGGCCTCCCGGTCTCAACCCACATCCGCCATGACAGCGCAGCGCATGCGTGAGCGTCGCGGCGTCCACAGGCGCAGGCGCATCCCACTCAGGCTCTGTGAAGGAGTGTGGTCCTGGGGGACAGGGCACAGAGGTGTTCAGTCTCCTGCGGGAGCTCGGAGTGCTGGGCCTTCTCACCACGTGCCCCAGCCTCCCATCCACCTTTTGGTAGCCCTTTGTCCCCGTATCCCTACCTGAGGGCCTTCCAGCTGTCCTTCTCCATGTGGTTCTCGGGGCCTTCACTCTCAAAGGAGGCGATGAAGAGAGCTGAGGGACAGGGAGGCCTCAGCACCCCCGCCCCTGGCCTCTGCCCGCTGCGCCCAGCTGTCCCTGCCAGGGGCCTAGGACCTCCACCGAATGCAGGCACCTACTGTGAGGCTGCCTGTCAGGGACTCCGAGCACGCCGTCCTCCTGGCAGCCTCTCCTGTCCTCTGTCACCTGCCCACATCCACCCTGCACAACTGCCCTGCTGGCTGGCGGCTCGAGTGGCCTCAGAACCCTGGGGCTGGGTGGAGTCGGGGCGCTCACCTTCCTCACTGTAGATGGGCGCGGTGAGCAGGTAGCTCTGAATCTTCTTGTCCTTCTCAAAGGGGCACTCCACCTGCGTCCAGGTCATGAACTCGTGGATCTGCCTGGAGATCTCCCAGAACTTCTGAAGGGACACAAGGCCAGTGGGATGTCTGTCACCCTGAGCTTAAAACCCATGGTCAAGGGCAGGGACCTGGCTCTGGTGTCCAGGTGGCAAACCTGCCGCGTGATGGCCATGATCCTCAGAGCTGGTCTGGCCCTCAGGGCCCTCTGTTCTGCTACCCAGTGCAGCAGCAGGTTCTTTGCTGTCTCACTCAGGCCCGAGCAAGAACCACGCACCTGCCCACTGCCACACAGGCCTCCCCAGGCACCCTGTCCTGCCCGCCTCTCGCCCAAAGCCCTGACCCTGGGCCTGCCCTTCCTCTGCCTCCCTGGTGAGTTCAGTGCTGAAGTCAAGGACCTGGGTCAGTACAGGTTCCCATGGCCCAGGCTTTGTGACCAGGTCGCCCCCTAGAGGGCAGGAGCTGCGCCTCCAACCTCACAGCCAAACAGTAGCCCACCCGAGGAGACAACCCTCCAAAGCCCCAACAGGCACCGGGACACATGGCTTCTGCCTGTCACCATGCTGGGCACCTTGAAGTTGATGTGTCCGTTGGGCAGGTGGTTGGTGTGGATTTTGTGCAGGAAGTAGATGTCCTTGACAAAGAGGTTGAACACAGGGATGACGATCTTCTCGCGGCTGCTGTTGGCCGTCTGGGACCGCTGCGTGGCACCCTGCAGGGCCGTGCGGTAGTTGCAGAAGTTGCTGGATGGGTCCATGTGGTGCTGCAGACAGGATAGGGGGACTGCTGAGCCCCAGACCACCATGGGGTGCCCTGGAGCAGGTTCCTGCTGAGCCCAGGGCCTTGGAGACGTGTGGCAGCCACGGCCCTGCCCACACCCGTCATGCCCCCAACCCTGGCTCAACGCCTCCCAGACCCAAGCTGTTCCACAAGGTACAGACATTTTGCAAAAAGATGGATTGCGTGCTCAGACACGTGGGCAGAGCCCCAGATGATGGTCTCCCAACCTCCAGGCCACCCAGGGGACCAGGGACCAGGAGACATCGCCCAAGGAGGCGGCCGGGCTGTTCAGGGGGCAGGGTCCCTTCTATCAGACTCTGACATCTGTTCTCTGGCTGCCCACCACCCGAGGGCAGAGTGAAAAGAAAGCCCCAACCTGCCCCGGGGCCCTGGGCCACTCAGGATGCTGTGTGGGGTGAAGGCACTGCACCCAGACGCCTACCTCCAGGACATCAAACTTGGCTGTCTTCACTTTGGACCACGTTTTCTTCAGCCGTGCCACAGGACTGAGGTTCATGCCAGCTGCAGGGACAGTGGCAGGGGTCAGGATCCATAGCAGGAGCAGTGAGGCCCCTGCCCGACCTGGCCCTGCCACTCACAGATGATGGCCATCATAGAGTTGAAGTTCCCGATGTTGAAGCACTCGCGGGCCACGTCAATGAAGAACTCCAGCATGCGGGTCCGGTGCTTCTTCTTCACCACCTACGGAGTGGGGCGGCTCAGCGCGCGCACCGCCGGGCACAGGGCTGGATACCCCAGACACACTCTGTTCTCGGCTGCCCCTGGGGACCCAAGGACCAATGAAGCTCCCACCCTGGGCTGGGGGAAGGGTACTGGGCACAGGGGTGCCGCTGTCCCTTCAGGAACCCTTGCATTGGGGTCCCGAACTGCCTCGGCCCTGGCAGTGGGCAGTCACATCTTCCACCTTGAGGCAGGCAGAACAGGGGTTAGAGCCTCCCTGGAATGGAGGGGCCGGCTGCTCACCTGCTGTGATGCTCACTGGCACACCTCCATGCCCGCCCTGCCCTGCTGCTTACCCGGCATACCTCGGTGGCCACCAGCATGCTCAGGCAGTTGAACCAACTGTCATAGGCCTCTAGGCTGTAGGTCTTGGCCACATCTCCTCGGCACTGGGGGACAAGGCAGGTCACAGATCCAGAGGACCCTGGCTGAACAGCAAGCCCCATGCTGGCCCTGGTCCCCCACCCGGGCCTAGCCATGCCTTCCCAACACATGCACCCCATGTGACCATCACAGCCCCCTCAGGCAGTCACAGGGAAGTCCCCACACTGCCGTGCCCGGCTCACTCACCCTGTGGTGGTTGTCCAAAGAATCTGTGTGGCTGATGATCTGCATCAGGTCCTCAGGGTGAATGCTGCTGACCCTCTCCTGTAGGGACAGCAAAGGAAGTCACCTACCTGCCTGAAGAGGGGATAGTGACATGGAGCAATGTGGCCCTCCACCCACACACACCCCAGCCTCCATCCTGGGGCCACCATACCGCCTGCCACCCAGCCCCTCCATTCCCAGGGCTGCTGTGCTCCTGGGGCCCGGTGCAGGCAGACGCCTGCTACCCTGTGCACACAGCCAGCAGCCCCGCGGCAGGACAGGGAGCCAGCACCCTGTGTCATGGGAACGGTCAGCAGAGTCTCTGTGGCTCTGGCCAAGGGAAGCTCTGGCAGCAGCCTTGGCCCCGTGGTGGTGAACACAGTCGTCTGCTTGGGCAATGCGGGGCACTGACCAGCTCGATATGGGTCAGCTGCTGGGCCAGCACCAGGGGGTCACAGCACACGCCCAGGATGTCCTTCTGTGCTGCCGGCGGTTTGGCCTTCAGCACAGGTCCCTTGTCCACAGCCGGCAGCCGCAGCTTCTCCCGAAGCTCCTGAAGCTGGCTCCGGGCGGCCAGGGATAGCAGCAGGCTCTGGATCATCTGTGCGATGGCCTTCTTCACTGTGCCATTCTCCTGTTGGGAGGGGTCGGTGAGGGTGCCACCAGGCCCCACCCACCACAGAGGGGCACCCCCACCTCCGGGACGCACCCGCCCAGACCTGCATGCACGCAGCCCACTGCAGGGCCAGGAGATGCCCACAGCTCCATACGTGGACTGTCATGAGGCCAGCCTGCCACCACCTGCGGGCATGGCAGGGTCCCGTGAAACCACGAGTGGGGCTGTCTCTAGACTTCCCCTTCCTGAGGTCACCGCCCCCACTCTCACCTCATCGCACTGGGTGACACGGTGCGCGATGGCCTTGAGCTCGCCCAGGGCCTTCTCGTCCTGGAAGTCGTAGGGGAAGGCCTCTGTCCACTCCTTCAGGAGCTGCACGATCTTGGCGGAGAAGGACTTCAGCTTGGCCTGGGCAGTGGGGACAGTAAGACCGCCAGTCAGCGTGAACCCTGAGACAACAGCCATGCTCCCCAGCAAGGGAATCCTGTTTGTCTCCCAGCCCCAAAGGTCAGCTTCGTCACTTAGATTCATTTTCAAAAGCCCTACTCCATCAGCACCATAACACAGAACACTGGTCTCATCTGCTACAGTTAGACATCACCCACAAAAAGCGCACGGTGAAGTAACATTAAATGAGACTCCACAGCAGGCTGGCACAGCGGGCTGCACTGCAGCTGCATCAGCAAGGTCCTCAAACTGTGGTCACCCAGACCACGCTACACCCACACCCAGGTGGGTGCCACCCCCACAGAGGGTCGAGGGGTGAGGGGGCAGGGAGGCCATTGTCCTTGGAAGATGCTTTGGGACCTCTGCCCAGAGGGGAGAGCAGAGATGCAGCGTTCACGCTGTCCCCCCAGACCAGCCAAATGCCGCATAGACCAAAAGCCCTCCTTTCCCCCACAGCTGCCTGGAACCCTGCTCAGGTCCCTGCCTGCCCCACCCCAAGCCAGACTGTGATGCCACAGGGCAGGGTGACTGCCTACTGTTCTGGGGACCTAGGCCACGCCACCTGTAGCCAGCCACCCTGAGGAGACAAAGGGGTCACAGACCACCCATGGCCTCGCTCTGCAAACCTCAGTGTCAGGAACCTTGGCCACACAGGTGGAGGCAGAAGATAGAACAGCTCACTGCACCCTTCTACAGGGATGCTGGGCTTGGGACCTGAGCTCCAGCAGTGGCTTCCAGCCAGTCCAGTCAGTGACACTGAGGATACCTACAGTGAGCAGGCACCAGCCTGGGGACTCTGTACCCCAAGCTCTCCAGACAGCCTGACCGCACCTTCGTCTCTGCCAGCAGAGGCACCTGTGCAGCCAGTGGAGGTTCAAGGCCGTAGCCTGGCAAGAGTGCTCAGCTGCCACTCGAGGGTGCTGGCACCCGCCCTCCCGGCAGCGCCCTCCAGCTCACCTTCTCGGGCCCAGCTTCCAGCTGCTGCCTCTGCTCCAGGCAGATCTGCCCAACACGGGCCAGCAGGTCATGTGGGGGCATGAAGACACGGGAGGTCAGCAGGAAAGTGAAGATGAATGTCCTCTAGGGAGGGACACAGGACACAGACCACACCATCAGGGGCATCTGCACAATCCCAACCTCGGGCACGGTGCTACTGGAGTCCCCACACCCCCTGTGTGCCTGCCTCCTGCCCAGCCCACCCTGTGCCCCAGGAGGGCCCAGAGGCCTGTGGTATAGGGCCAGCTGGTAGGCGGGAAATTCATAGGGCAGGGCCAGTCCACGGACCCAGACCCAGGGGACCTAGGCCACGCCACAGTAAGAATGTGGCCTGCTTGCAGGGCAGGGCCATCAGCGCAGCTGGGAAAGCCTGGTGGGTGGGGGAATGGCTAGTAATAGGCCAGGGGAGGGGAGGGCTGGTCAGTGGGGGTGTGCCTGTGGGCAAGGGGATCCCCACAGGGCTCTGAGCCGAACCACCTCCACAGGCACTGTGGCCAGGCCTTCCTCAGTCTAGGGTGCCTACTCCTGGCTCCACCACCCAGCCCTGGCCAGGTGGACAGACAGGCGTGGCCATACATGGGCACATTTTCCTGGCGACCTGAGCTGGGTGAGGGCACTGGCCCTGCGCCTCCACACTGTACGGACCTCAGGGTGTAACGGTCCCAATGGGGGAGGGCCAGGATGCCGTGCTGCATCCTGCTGCACACCTGGCAGATGCAGGGACAGTCTCTGTCCACAGGGTGGACTGGGAACCGTGGCTTCCTACCCACGTGGCTGACCCTTCGCCTTCTGGACACAGGGGCTCTTGCAAGAGCCAGGCTTCTGGGCTCCAGGCTAGGCCCTCCTGCGTGCTCCTTCCTCCCCAGGGCTGGCACCTTCCCCTTCCCCCTACATACTAGGCCCACTGTCTCCTGCTGCTCTCGGCTCTATCTGTCCCCAGCACTGAAGCCAAGTCCCCCTGCATCCCTCCCAAGGCCAGAGCACTCACATCAGGGTAGTAGTCTACAGTGGGGACCAGGTGCTCCATCAAGGCCTCCAGGGACCCAGAGACAAGACGTCCATCTTGGAAGATGAGGTCCCCAGCACCACCAGCACTGCTGCCCCGCTCCCCCATGCCGGGCTGTGCCTGTCCGCTACCGCTGGGCCCGAGGATGCTGGAGAAGACCACAGATGTCTGGGGCATAGTTTCCTGGGGAGGAACGAGACCATGAGGCTTGGGGTACCTCAGGCGTCATCCCAGAAGCCTGCAGCCATTATAGGTGTAGTTTGATGAATGTGACTTTGGCTTGTGCTCCCGCACACCAGCCCTACCCCCTGGGGTGACACCCAAGCAGAGGGCAAGTATGGAGAGACACAGAGAAAGCACAGAGACCCGGCCCAGGCAGGCAGGGTTTGATGTTGACCATGCAGCTCCCAGGAGAAGACACAGGTCCTCGGCATGAAGGCAGCAAGTGTCAGGTTCTGCAGCCCAAGTGTAGCATGCAGGGACAGCGGTCTGAGGCCTGGGCTGACTGCATACCCCGCCTGGCGTGGAGCAGGGAACAAGGGTAGCATCAAAAGCTGAGGGCAGATTCTGCCATAACTCTAGGGAGCTGGTCAGGCGGGGTGCAGCACAGAAGGGTGTGCCTCGGACACAGAGTAGAAACCCAAGCTGGGGCACCGAGCTGAGGAGGCAGAGCTCAGAGCAGGGCCCGGGAAGACCCAGCTCTCAGAGTGAGAGGCCTGTGAGGGGCAGGTGCCCAGCGGGGCCTGGCCACCCTGGTAGGGGTTGCAAAGTCCCCACCACCACCACCTCATGTTGCAGCCTGGCCTCTGCTAGGAGGTCTTGGGAGGTGGGGCACAGTTTCCCCACTGTGCAAGGCAGTAGGCCAGCAACTTTGAAGGTCACCCTCCCACTGGCCAAAAGGCTCCCAGGTCTCTGGGTCAGTGGGCATGGGCACAGAGGACCACAGCTGGGTCATGCAGGGCGGTCCCCACAACCTCCCTGTCTGTCATGGCCCCACACAGGCTTGAGGCCTTGCTGCCCCCTGTGTGGTGGCCCTTGAGGTCCTCCTTGCAGGGAGGGGCTTGCTCAGGAGCCCACCACCTTGGGCTCCGTGGCCCCTGCACAGCTCTGCTGACTGCCACAAGCCCAGGCTCAGTTTCCCCACTGTGCAGGCACAGATAGCCACGGTGGCTTCACTGCCCCAGAGGCCCGGGGCTGCTGCTCCCCAGACACTGTAGAGCATGGGTCCTTGCCCCACACCGCAGCAGCCAGGGCCTGCACCTCAGTCAGGAGCGAAGGGTCTAGGCCCTACTCAACAGAAACGGGGGTGAGCTTGACATCTGTGTGGACAAATGGTGGAAAAGAGGCTGGGCAAGGAAACCCTGCAGCTCCACACCCTCCAGGCACCCCACCTCCAGGAAGCTGTCTGAGTAAGGCTCAGCAGCTGGTGGGAGGTGGGAGCAGCTGTCCTTCCCATGTCCCTGCGCAGGCCCAGGACGCTCAGTGACCACCTGTGTGGTGAAACAGTGCAGGTGGCCCTGGCCTTCCCCACCCTGCTGGGCCTGGCACCTCGCCAAAGGCCATGGCTGTCCCAAAGCGGGTCCCAAGGTGATGGGTGGTGGGGACCTTGGTCAGGACCCAGCCTAGAGTCATCAGAGAGGGTGTCTTCCCTCTGCAGAGGTGACAGGGATGATGGGAGGCCCTGGGGAGCGCTGTGCACAGGAGGCTGGGGAGCCAGAGCTGAGCCAGGCAGCTTCACCCCAGAGCTGTTCCCATTGTGTGCTCTCGGTCCCCTGGACCCACAGCCGACGCACATGACACTCTAGGCCAGTGACAGCAAACCTTTTAGAGCTTTCAGTAATACAAACAGCCCGCCACGGCACACATGCCTAAGGTTCACCACCACTGCTCTGAGCTGTGTGTGGTCCCCAGGGCAGCAGCTCAGCCCCTCTCCTTGAGGCCAGGCCCCCGTGCACAGCCAGGAGGCAGAGGTGCAGAGTGCCGTGCTGCAAAGCCAGGTGGCTAACCGTGCACCAGGACCACCTGGGGACATCCCAAGGCCACCTTGCCCAGCTCCTACCCCAAGGAGCCTGATTGGGGCCTGGGGGGGCTGAAGCTCCCCCTCCCTGAGGTCTCCAAGTGCCTGGGGAGGCTCTGGTTGTGCCCAGACCCACAGCAGCATTAGGCACAGCAGGGCCCAGGCCAGGCAGGAGCCACACAGCCCCCACATTACAGGCAGGCTGCACCTGACAGCCAGCGGCCCTCACAGCTCCTCCTGTGCTGAGGGGAAGGCAACACCTTGTAAATATAGAGCAGTCAACACAGAGAGGGGTGTGAGTGACTCACGGCCTCCTGAAGTCAACCTCAGGTCTCCTCATCACCCACAACACACAGGCCACAAGAGACACTGGAAACCCAGGTCCTGGGAGAGAGAGGGGCCTCTACCAGCTCCGGCAGCCGTGTCCGGACCTCTCTGTGTGTGGAGTTCCACTGCTGGGCCTCAAAGAGGGTGGAGACTGGCACACGTTTCCCTGCTGGTCGGACGCACAAGGACCAAGCCCTTACTCTCGGATCCTTTTCCCAGGCACCTGGGACAAGAGGCCTCCTGGGAACACAGCAGATGCCTCCGCTTCTGAGCATGCACACGGCACGCACGGGAACACAGACACACGCACAGGTGAACACCCCAGGCACACAATCACATATACAGGTGCACACACAGGCACACACATCCTCGCACCTTGTAGGGACAGCTGTGCCAGAGCAGTGGGGGACCCAGGCCCTCAGCCTTTCAGAAGTGCAGAGCTGAGAGTAGGTGCCTTCCACAGCACAGCGCGGTGATTCAGGGAGGGAGGGAAGGCTGGAGCTCTACCAAGTGACAGTGAGCTCCCATCACAGCTTCTCAGGGCGTCAGAAACAGGTGACACCCACTGCCCACTTCTCGCGTGGCCCCCAGCATCCCAGGCAGCACAGAAGGGGACATCTGACAGACATCCTGGGCAAGGGCTGGGCAGCTGCCCAAGAGGACAGCTAGGCCCACACACACCTGGACACTTTCCTGCCCCAACACGGTCCTCCTTCCACTTTCAACCTCCAGGTGTCCCCATGTCAGGTTGGGGGGGTGGCACCAGTCACCCAGGAGCCTCTGGACCACAGAGTGGCAGTGTCCTTGAGACCCAGGGCGCCCAGCTGCATCCCAGCCTCACTGCGCAGGGCCTGCTGTGTGTGGCATTTCCACATCCTGTTGCGTGTGGCGTCTCCACATCCATGCTTGTCCAGGCCTGGCCACACATACCCTGCCCGTCCTCGGTGTGCTCCCTGCCCCCAGACCAAGGACCAGCCCCCATGGTGGGGCAACACAGCCTGTGGCCTCCAGAAAGACGGACTCCTGTGCACAGGGGAATAGGCGTGGCACTCCGCCACACTGGCCAGAACACTGACACCCTGGCACTGTCCCCCCGGGGCTACATTGTCACACCCAGGCAGGAAGGTGGGCAGAGGGGAGGTTGGTCTGGCTGAGCTCTGGGCTTAGCAAAAGATGTATCCTTGGAGCCCTGGAGGATCTGTGCGACACTTGTACCTAGGCCAGCACGGTGCCCAGTCTTGGGAGACTATGACTCCAACCTAGAGGGACTGAGGCAGCAACATGCGAGGTGGCCGGGTGTCACAGACATCACCCAGCACAGCCAACCCAGGACAGGGCCCGGCCTCCTCCACCCACCTTTCCATTTCCAGCACACTTTCAGGATTCTAGATCCCTGGATCCTGGTCTGCAGTTCTGGGAATGAGGGGGAAACAGGGAAGCGGCAACCTGCCTTGTGCACTTCAAACCTCCACCACAAGGACGCAGAGTGCCTGGCATGGTGAGTGCCTGGCATGGTGCACTCCTGTCTGCAGCAGGACACACAGATCACCTCTCAGCTGGGGACACAGCAGGCTACTCCTCCTGCACTGCCTCCCCACCCCACCCCAGCCCGCACCACCCCTACTGTTCCTCCAAGCTCAGACACTCGGACCCTCTGCCTGGCAGCTGGCAAGGGCCCATTCCCACAACATCCTGCTCGGGATCCCAAAAACACCAGGAAAGAGGCTCATCCAGGACCCCAAGCGAGCAGCCCAGCGTCTTGGGGACGGGGTCTGGTGTGCATAGGGACTGGGAGGGGCTGCATGCTGAGGCGGCAACGCAGATTCTATTTTTCAACTCAACTAGAGCGGAGGCTATTTTTAGCTCAGCAAGCTGCAGGCATTGAAATTAGCAGCTCAAGATTACACCTCCTGCCGTCTCACCCACCAGCAGGGTCTCTAGGGGCTCTGGGAGGCAGGGCCATGGCACCCAAGGCTGGCTCAGAGGCTCTGGGGCCATGCTGGCCACCTGCAACAGGGCAGTGATACAGCAGGTTCTGTCGGTCCTCCTGGGCTCAAGGTCTGGTCCCTGGAGGTGGGGGTGCACCTCAGAGCCCTGCTCCCTCCCCTTTCGTTCACTCATTCATTCACTTGTTCACTCATTCATACACTCACACACTCATACTGGCAAGAACAGGCTAAAGGTGGGGACCAGTGAGGCAGCCACTTAGGCTCTGGCTCCTTGCATGCCTGAGTGGGTAGGCAGGTACTGGAACTCTCAGAACAGGGCTGTCTGGCCAGGGGAGGCTCAGGGCTCTCCAAGGGGAAATGATATAAGTCAGGCGAGATGCGCAGGTGTGTGGGCCCTGCGGCTGTGGGACCTGTGCGTGTACACAGTGCCCCACCACCCTCGCCGGCCCTGGAGCTGCATCCAGTCCCATCTCAGCCTGGGTGGGGCACAAGTGCTCAGCATGGGCCTAGGGACCCACTGCACCCTCCTTGGGGTCCTGGGCCCCGAACCTACTGCCACCACCCTCGTCCTCTCATAGCCTGCCCAGCCCATGGGGGCGCCCCTAGGACCTTCCACTCCCCAGCCTGAAGCTTCCACCAATCCTGTTCTGCCTGCAGCCCCACACTGCAGGCAGGGTCCCGAGTGGCTGTGCACCACCATGACAGTTTCTGTCCCACAGCTGTCCACTGTGGCCCAGTGGATGGTGGGGTGGGCGCTGCCCTCTGGGCCCCCTCATCTCCAGCACCAGCATAGCAGTGGACCCGGCCACCGATGCAGAATGTAGAGGAGTCACCCCTGCTCCCAGCAAGTGAGTGTGCCCACTGGCCTATGGAGTGGGAGATACAGGGGG